ATTCCATCTGCTTTTGTAACCATTTGTCCATGGTAGGAATCGAGGCATCCTTCCACTTTTGTGCATAGAGCAATTTTGCCGCCATCACCATATATAAAATCAGAGTTCCAAATTTTTTTTCCAGTTCTCTTTCCATTAGACCCAGAAAGAAAGTTTCTGGTTTAATTTTTATGTTCACTTTAAGAATTTTCTGCATTAATGTATGAATCCTCCTCCAATATTTCTTTGCCTTATCACATGTCCACCATAAATGATAAAAAGTCCTTCTTTACATTTACATTGCCAACATTCATTTGAAATACCTTTATACATTCTAGATAAGCTAAGGTTAAGTATGTATATTAAAGGTTAACATGCTGGTTTTTTATTCCATTCTGCCTCCTCTCTCTCTGATGTTATTTATGTGATACACTTTAAATTGTAAGCTTCACCACCATTCCAATTCTCACTAAAGAAATACAACTATAAAAATGCAGACACACAGGCTGCTGTGCTAAAAATTGCTGCCCCAGCCAAATCCCCCAAACAATGTATATATTACTTTCAAACATCTTTCCATATTCTGCCTGGGATCACTAAACAAATGGTTCAAGATAAACCATGAGCTGACCATGGCATCCAAATGATCTGAAATATGTGCAGTAATAAAAGATTTGCTGTGGGGGGGGGGCACACACACAAACCTCCAAATACAAACTTCTAAACTTCTAAAAAAGGAAGAAGCCGAAATGTCTATGTCTCTTTATATGGATGGTTGTTTATATATGTTTGTGTAAATGCATACTTGCATCTATAGTTCTGTGTCTATATATACACATGTATTGCCGTGTTTCCCTAAAAATATAAGCCCTACCTCAAAAATAAGCCCTGGTTAAGACCCACCCACCGTCCTGCCTCTTCCCTTTCACTCCCCTTCCCAGCCAGACTGCTGGCACTCTCAGCAACCTGGCCCTCTTTGCAGCTCTGCCCACACAGCCACCAAATTGGCAGCCAGAACCGCAGAGGGGCGGGGAGGGTGCTGAAGCAAGCAGGCGTCCTGCCTGCAGCACCCATGCCGGCTGCCACTTCCCTACTAGAGCCAGAATGCTGTCACATTTCAGTAGATGCCGACCTTCCCTCCAGCGCGCCTGGGCAGCTGCTGGAGAGAAATGGGCCCATTCAGCGCCTGGTGCCCTTGGGGGGGGGGTTGCCTTGCCACCTGCTTTCCAGCTCCACCACATTTCTCTGCCATTGCAGAGCTGGATAGTTGCCACACCGCCGCCCAGATACCCTCGCTTCCCCCAAGCATTTCTTTGCTAACCTGATTTCCAGCTCCGTTGCATTTCTCCATTGCGCTTCTCCATTGTGTTTATTTATTTATTTATTTATTTATGAGACTTATATACCGCTTTAAGTGCAAGCACTCTCTAAGCGGTGTACACCAGTAAGCAATGTATATATATATTTACATTGCCCCCAACAATCTGGGTCCTCATTTTACCTACCCCGGAAGGATGGAAGGCTGAGTCAACCTTGAGCCGGTGAGATTTGAACCGCTGACCTCCTGAACACAGTCAGCTAAAGTGGCCTGCAGTACTGCACTCTAACTGCTGCGCCACCTCGGCTGCATGCAGAGAAACAAAAGAACTTTGTGGGACTAAAAAAATAAGTTCAATCAGACCTTCCAACTTCTCGCAAAAAAAAAAAAATCTCACAAAGTTGGAAGGTCTGATTGAACCTTTTTAGTTCCACAAACTTTTGTTTCCTTGCACCCGGCGATGGAGAAACATGACAGAGAAACGCAATGGAGCTGGAAATCAAAGAAATGCTTGGGGGAAGTGAGGGCATATGGGCAGTGGTGCAGCAAGCTGTCCAGCTCCGTGGTGGCAGAGAAATGCGATGGAGCTGGAAAGCAGATGGCAAGTGGGGCAGATCGGGGGGTAATCTACCAAGTCTTATGGCAGCGGCATTGGTGCACACGATGCACAATACGGCGTCCTGCCACGAGTGGCTGAAAGCAGCCACAGAACAAGTGGGGTGTGAGATGCCTGGCTACTGGAGCCTGCGGCACGGTAAGCGGGACACGGGGCAGATCCCTACTCACCTGCCAAGCTTCATGGCAGCAGCACTGTCCTGCTGCAAGCGGGCGAAAGCAGCCATAGAAGAAGTAGGGTGGTGGCTATGTGGGCTGCCGCTGTGAGGCGAGACAGGTGTGAAATAAGACATCCCCCCAAAATAAGAGCTAGTGCCTCTTTTAGAGATAAAAATAATAATAAGACCGGGTCTTATTTTCGGGGAAACAGGGTAGTATCTATATCTTTGTATGTATGTATACATATTCATACACACACACCCTTACAGTATTCACAGAGGGATGGATTTAGGTGTCTTGCAGCAACACAAAGATTCCATTTAATCCCACCTTCCAGCTCAGTTTGTTCTTCTCCTGCAGGTTCTATAGATAGAATAAGAGCATTTTCACAGCCTTCCTGAATTGTATTAGGTGAGTATTGAGTAAATCTCTGAAGGAGGAAAGGGTATTCCAAAGGAAAGGACCAGCCACAAAGAAACTTGATTTCTAGGCCCTCTTCCTAGCAACCTCAGAGGAGGGGATATTTAACAATCCGTGTTAAGAGAAACATATCAAATGAGCCATTCTTCCTCGGAGGAAATTGTCTTGATGATATCTGGAATTAAGTCATGTAGGGGTTTATAAGCTAAGCCCAGCACTTTAAATTGTACATGGAAACGTACCAGAAACCTATCAGAAATCAATGAATAAACTAAAGTCTTATTCCCCTCCCTGATACAAGTATATATGCTTCTCTTGCTGCACCTTTGTGGTAACCTACTTGGGGGCAGAAACAGGTCATCTTATCCTATATTATTAAACATATAGGGCTGCATTAAGTGGACCCTTTCATATTTGCAAACACATCTTACAGGCTGCAAGTACTGGAACCCAGAACCCTTTGAATTATTTCCACGGGCAAGACAGTAGCATGAGTTCTCTTGGACATATTTTAGGATACATTCAGAGTGTATGTTCTCATTCAAATGTGACCTCAGCAAACTTCTTTCCTAATTACAATAATCCTACATCATGCTTGTTAAAGTTAGGAATTATTTAGTTTTACATTTAACGATTGTGGGATAAATACTCTTCCGGCTCAGTATTGAAAGACTGAAAAGAAACTAGCTATCTCTTTTCTATGTCATTAGGTGTTGCCGGTTCTTCCACATGAAAATTGCAAGAAAATAGTTTCATTATGTGTCATTTCATTATGTGTGAAATAATTTCATTATGTGATTTATTTTAAAGAAGGGGAGGGCACTTTACTATACAAAGTTTTTTTTAATAATTATCAAAAAACAACAGGAGTACCATTTGAACACCATCAGCACTGAAAAAATCACTATCAGTCAATTGCAAAAGGCAGCTTTACTTGGAATAACTTTACAGTACATCCTGCAATGATATATTTAACACCACCAAACAACATCATCTGCTGATCCCACATCCTTGAGAAAGACCCAGTAAGTGGATAAAAATGCCAAATCCAGTTTAAACATCTGACTGACTGTGCGACAAACCATAATAAAAAGCTTTTTGAGCAAGTTGGATAGTTTGTACCAGGGACATTTTCATTGTCAATAGAAAAAGCAGCATGTAAACTTTAATATGCATCTCATCACAGATGGGTAAGCAAGGCATTCAGTAACAATGGGTACATTTTTCAGCAAAGACAGATGTGAAGTTTCTGTGCAAATGTTGCTTGTACAAATAATCTTTTTCTTTTTTCCCTTTCTTTTCAGAATGAATACACACACTCATACACACCTACTGTGGACAAAGATCCTAATCCAGTGTTTCTCAACCTGGCAACTTCAAGATATGTGGACTTCAGCTCCCAGAATTCCCCAGGCAGCCATGTGGCCAGTTTGAGAAACATTATCCTAGTCCCATCTTCACAGTTCTAAGTGAGAGAAACAGTCTATCAAAGAGGTTGGGAAGCTACCATCACAGCCAATGAAGCAAGCCAATACCAGGATTCCATATTAATTGGTTTTCTATGTTTCTAATACAGATACTTATACATGGGGTCTTCTATGTTAACATGATGGCCGAGTATTATAGAGTTAACACGATGGCCAAATACTATAGGAGTTAACATGATGGCCAAGTATTATAGGAGTTACAATCGAAACATTCCATATTAATTGGTTTTCTATGTTTCTAATACAGATACTTAGACATGGGGTCTTCTATGTTAACATGATGGCCGAGTATTATAGAGTTAACACGATGGCCAAATACTATAGGAGTTAACATGATGGCCAAGTATTATAGGAGTTACAGTCGAAACATCTGAAAGGTTGAGAAAGGCTACCTAGGTTTTCCTCTAGACCCAAAGCAGGAAAACTTTTTTCACACAGGGCTGCAGTTCCCCCTTCTGTCCTGCCGTAGAGGCGCAGGAGCATGCTCAGTGTCACTGTTACATCACTAGAGGAATGAGAGAAGTAACATTTTCAGAACCATTTCCCCCATTTTGGGGACTGTGTAGGTTTTTTAAAGAAGTCCTAAGGCTTAAGGCATTCATTTCATTCTTAGCCTTTTCACACCCACTACCACTCCAAATGAAAAAAGGGATCTAAAATTTGAGATCTGTCCTTTTGGGGGCCACACATGGACATGGGTTAGGTACATTTACATTAGATGATGGATTCTTCCTTAGTTCTTGTGCAGTTAGAAGGAAAACCGCAGACAATACATGCAAGAAAAGGAGCATAAGCTGTTGTCTTTGTGGTTTGATGGTGATGCATCATTGAAGGCTAAGAATAGAGACAGGTTGGATGTGTAATTTGAGAGATGATGAAATATTCAAGAAGAGTCTGTGATATGTGCTGTCAACAAGCATTGCACTATTTTATCTGTTGGGGCCATTTATTGGGTTTGCAAGCCCCTGTGTAAAAATCACAAGTCAATTAGAAAATCATTCTTTCTGCACAATGTTACATACCCACTTAGAGGTCTTGATTTCCTAATTTCGAAGAACTGAGTTCCCGTATGGTTATATCTGGATTTCATTTATTAAGACAAAGTGATTGCAAAATGAAGAAAGCAATAGTACATGTGTAAGATTCAAACAAATGAATTTGTCATAATCTTTTCAAAAAATACAAACCATTGAATATAACTAGGAAAAATAATTTAATTCACTTGAATCAGTCACTAGGCACCACCAGCTCATTCTTTGTCCATATCTTTATACCACAATCTTCAGTATTAAATGCAACTATCCAAGCAACAACAACAACAACACACACACACACACACACATTGTTTGGGGCTAGTACTTTGCTTCAGTAGTATTGTCTTCCTTGATAAGGTATGTTTCAAAGTTTTCTTTCACCTTGGTTCTTGACTTAGACTTTTGCCCATAACTTTCTTCCTGATGGGTCTAAGAAATAATCTAGGACTATAAAATCATTCAAAATGTCTTCCCTTCCAAAGAATAATGTTATAAGCAAACTATTACTCCTCCAAATACTAAAAAAAAAACCTTTCACTTTTCAGAAGGCATTATGAAACTATTTTGAGAGTTACTCAGATTGTCTCTGCATGCTTGTTCACATATAGATGCTTTTCTAACAGTGTTTTTGGAAGTGCTATCCAAATTGCTACAATTATTGAAAATCAGAATTTGTCTCCAGTCTAACTCCAAAGTGGATATCATAAGGAGCTATTTAGGCCATTAAGTTCAACTTTCTGCTCAGAGCAGGAATCCAAATCAAAGCATCTCAGCCAGATGGCTGCCTAGCCTTCCCTTGATTATATCCAATGAAGTAGGAACTACAATCTCTCTGAGTCAATTAGATTGCGGTTTGAACTGTTCAGAAATTTTATCTAATACTCAAAATCTATCTTCCTATAACTTATATCCACTGTTTTGTGTCTTGCACTCTGCAATGAGAACAAACAAATCTAGACCCTTTTCTACATGAACGTGCTTTCCAACATGTCTTTGCTACCCTTTCCTGAACCTGTTCCGATTTCTCAGAATCCTACTTAAATTATGGTGTTCAGAATTTGAGTAGGTATTTGAGCAGGGTTCTAATGAAAGTAAATGAGAGTAGAATCATTACATTCTGTGATTTGGAAACTAGTATTTATGCAGCCTAAAAGTGTCTTAGCCAAATCATACTGATGACTCATATTTAGTTTGCAATTAATCATTGTTCTAAAATCTTTTCTGCAAGTATTATTGTAGTATTATTATTACTGTAACAGTGCAGTAAACATAAGAATATAAGCAATATTGTGCTGATTGGACCCCTGGCCCATCCAGTCCAGCAGCCTGTTTTCACAGTGCCCAATCCACTGCCCAAGGAAATCTCCAAGCATATGACCTTCAGAGACAGAAACACTGGCATCAAGGCTAACAGCCATTGATCCCCATGGCTTCCATGAATTGGTCCATCAACCACGTTTCATGGTATAAGAATACATATCACCTACAGTATTTCTACTGCTACAATATATTGCCTTTGATGCTGCTGCATTGTTACCCCAATGAGCCAAGCTGATCAGATTGGAATCAGTTCTGTTCAGGCCAGATAGGGAATAGGAGCATTCTAACCTCAAGTATGAGAAAACAATAGCTATAGTCCATTGACTGAATAGGACAGAAGAACAAAGCTTAAAATTTAAAACCTTTATTTTGTATATATAAAGGGCTTAACTTGTGTGTTCTGTTGTAGCTGGATTATCCTTATACATATGAATTCTTTCTTGTCTGTAATAAGGCAACTTATCTTGCAGTTCTGAGTCCTTAGCACTGTTGCTATCAAGTTCCTGAAGGAAGGGTTGGGTTCATCAAAGGTAGATATTCCCTGCCAAGGTCTGACATTCTATGTACCATGATCGCAAAAAAAGTCTGATAGCTGTTCAATCTCCTGCATCAATTACAATCTCTTATGTGCTTTTAGAGCTACGTGTGGCATTCCAAAGGGCAAGGGCAACATCTCACACTTGAGTAATCTCATAAAGCTACAGAAGCGTTGGAAAATACAGCAACAGCACTTTTCATTCCTTGTTATTCCTCAAGTCATCTTGATTCTCTACTGAATTATCCACTCTCCCATTTTCCTTAACAAATAAGATTAATAGCCCTTTTTAAAAAACAAAAATAAAGGATACTGCAGCATCTTCATGTAATTCTGTATTGCCTGAAGCCAGTCTGGGATCATCATGGAAGCCTTGTAATTTGGCACCGACGGCACAGAAGGCTGCATAAAATGAGACAGAGACAAGTTGGGAGAGGTCATTGTTTGAGGTAGACAGCCTAAATTGTTTTAGTTGAATAGAGAAGAAGAGCTGAACTGTAATGTGAAAGAGTTGAAATGAACCTCTGCTAATGCAGATCCTATCCCTGTATTTTATCAGATTAAGACTCACTGAGCAAAGTGAGATTTATTCCCAGATAGGTGTGCAAATGTGCAGCATCAGCATACATTGTCTGAAAAAAGACCTAACTTGCTAAGGATTTGTCTTTCTTTAGTTTCAAGCCAGCTTTGCCAAATTAAAGCATAACCCACAGAAGACCATTTGCCATCTTTCAAAATCCTCCCTGCTCCAAACCTTAGAATATCCATACAGCTGTTCATGCAACTGAAGAAAGAAGCTCCTTCTGAGATTCATATGTCACAATTCTGTGCTAGCAATTGACAAGAGAAGAGAAACAAAGGGACATTGTCTATTAACAAATAATGCGCTGAGCATCTAAAACAAAAGCAAGCTGTCCAATTTCTTTGGCATAAAAATATTGGGTAAGAATTAAGAGTGAATCTTTAAAGAGCAACTTTTATTGCTCTTTAAAGATTCTTAAAAGATTGCTCTTTTATTTTATTTTCCAGATACAACAATTATTGTATCTGGAAAATATAATAATTAAGATTGTATCTGTGCAGACTCATAATTTGATATAGGTACACAAAGCATAATAGTTTTATCTGTCTGGACAAGCCTATTCCTTTAAATGTGATGCTAACCTTCAAATATTTACAATGTGTTTCAGCTTCTTGTATGCATTATCCCTTATTATCCAATCCTGTTCTCCCACTGCACAAGGCTGTGTTTAGGAGGGCTTTCAGGAAGGCTTGCTCATATTTCTCATTTTCAAACATAGTATTTTTGGCTCAGTGATGGGCTGTAGACAGTGACTATCAGTGATCCTTCAGATGTGTTATAGTACAGTTCACATCATTCCTAGATACATGGCCACCACTGACCATATTGGCTGAACTGTATGGGTGATGGGAATAGTACAAATATACTAGGAGATTATCAAGTTGGGACAGCTTTTTTATATTTGTCACAGCGATACAAGTACTTTGGCTGGTGGGGCAAAAAGGTAAATATCCAGAGTCTGGTTTATACTGATAAAAGTTGCTGGTCACTTTCTTCCTTTAGTAGTCACATATAGTAGTCAATGTAAATGACGTAGATGCACTTGTTGACTGCCAGTCATTATCCCAGTAGCATGGTTTATAAGTAGACCAGTATTTTCCCTTAATCTTTTAATTCAAGGGTGGATAAATTCTGCCCTGTGTCTCTATGATTCCCCTCATGTCCCTTTTTTGCAGACCCCAACTATATCGGGAGGGGGGGGACAGGTGTCTGCCAAAAATTAGCAGTTGTTGCCAATTAAGCAAAAAGCACAAAAAGCACTCAGATGCAGCTTAATACATTTAAAAACAAAGTATCACAGAAACAAAACCTGAACAAAAGCAGACCATCTTCAGTAACTTAGGATAAGCATTGAAGAGCCGATACTGAAATAAATTACTGATGCCATTGGATCTCTCCACAGAATCCCTACCCACTTGCTTTCATTGGGTTTAGAATATAGTAATTATATAATATGAACCATCCTGTCTTATTATCTTCATTTTCAAGATTGTCTCTGGAACCCAATGGTCATGTGGCCTGTTCCCATGTACCTAGGAAAGAAAACAAGCTAAACTGGCATAGTAGAGTATCCTGCGAAGCTGAAAAGGATGCTAAGAAACAATCCCACCAGTTTGTCTTACATTAAATTGGTATTATGAAATTGGTTGTGCCCATCATGACATCCATTTTATGAACAAGCCCACCATCATGCAACCATACTGTGAGGCCTTATTATCAGATCCACTGACTCACAAAGATGGCTTTATCTTGCTTGAGATCTCCATGTAGCAGATGTATTTCAACTAGAAAATTAGTAGTGTTGTGCTGCAACATCATTCTGTATCTCTTTATCACAGTTCTTGTACTTGTGCTTACAATAGGGACTTTGTTAAAAGAAAAAGACAACATGCCATCCATAAACTGAGTCCCCCATTTTCCCTTTAATTTGCTCCTACAAGTAAAGCAGAGAAAAACATGCTTCTATTGCCCAGACAAATGAATTTTTAAAATGCCAAGATCCTGATTTGGCCACTTGTCAGTTTCTCCATTGGTATAATATATGCTTCCTATAACACAGAAAGATTTTCCAAGTCTGGTTCCCATCACCAGAGCAATGCCACAGGAAGAAAACAAATCCAGCAGACTGATCCCAGCAATGCTGTCCTTGCCTATAGCTGCTAAGACACAAGAGGACGAAATGAAGAACCCCCACCCAAGGCTCTTCTTCAGCATTTGGTCTTACAGACAGAACAGGTGGCTGGAAGGGATGCTGTCTCTGAAGGGTATCCATTGCAAGTGTTTCCATCCTTTGATTGCCAGCTGTTTTATCAATCATCAGAGCTCTTCAGTCACAGGTCACGTGATACAGAATTAGGATGGCAAATGGAAAGGAGATGACACATCAAGGCAGCACCTGCTTGGATAGCTTTCACTTACTTAAGCCAGATTCTTATCCCTTCATAGCCAAAGGGAAACCTAGCTGCAGGAATCTTGCCCCATAATACTCTTATTAGAAAATGTCACTAATGACTTTTTCTTTCAGATGTCATGTACCAGAGATATTGCAATTTGGTACTTGTTTTACTGTTCAGAGCTGGGACAGCACAGTAATTAGGTGTTAGGGTTTAACTTGCACTGGAAAGAGTAGGTTCAACCTCAGCAACATCCATAGGTTCTCCCTGATTTGCCAGAATGATGAAAACAGTGTAATGTCATAATCTCCACCACTTTGAATATGAGTGACATCGTGAAATATATAGAAGACGGGCAGGGCTGGCATCATAACACTGCATTTGTCACTCTGCCACACTCTGCCTGCCCTCACCCCCAGTCGATAGGACTCTAGTTCTCCCTAGAGAATCAAGAAATAAACTGAAAGACCTCAGTAGGTTAGGAATAGATTGTCATGGAGAAAATCTATTTGAAAGCAACTTGATGACTCACAGGACCTTGAAGATCCAGCAGAAATAAACAGTTTCTAGAGATAAGAAACCTGTTGACTGATAGATACTGCTGAGCCAAATCTCCATTAATCTTGCCCACATGTCCAATGGCAAGAGATGTTGGGAACTGTAATTTTGCCAATTCTAAAGTGCCAAAGCTGTGCATTCCTGGTCTAGACAAAGTTAATCTACCTTGGTATGAAGCAGTGACTAGTGTGACAGGTGAGTAATGCAGATGTTCAGAGTGAGAAAACCACTTATTTGTAAGTTACTGCAAGCTTCTAATTCCATCCTGTTAAATCCAACATCTTGACACTTCTCAGCAAAGTGGTGTTTTTCCTGCCAAATTCAGCTGCTGTGCCACTTGTGATTTCATTCCATGTTGCTTATCACAGAGCTGCAAACTTTCACAAATGTTCCTGGTGATAAGGAACTAGACTGCGCATTTTCAAATGTGAGGAAAGCAAATAGCTGCTCAAAATAAGCCCTTGGTATAGAAATGCCCAGGTGACAATTAACTGTTAGCACTTTTGGTTGCAACTACAAATATTTCCTCCAGGGAAAAAAATGAGCAGCTGTTGAACTACATTCATATATGTCTCAAGGGTTTATGAAAGCAAATACAGCCAAGGCTGAGAGACAATTAGCCCTCCACAAATAAAAAGATTCTGAATCTTGAATGAGTAGGACTCAATTATTTTTCAAGCAACTTTCTGCCTTTGAGGCTGAACAGAAAAATCTGAAACATGTCAATAGCTCTCAGAATCCAGAACAAGATTTCAGTAGTTACTAGACACCTTTTTATTTTTATTTAGCTCCATTCCTATAGGTAGTTCCCCCCTCCCAGCCCAGCTTAGTTCACTATCAGTAAACTCCATATACACTTCTATATAATTTTCTCAGTAGTAATTTGGCAGTGATCTATTCTCCCCATCCTCAATTATCCTCTAGGTCTAGGATAATTTTTGACTTCACAGTCTACTTCCCAAGCCAACCAGATCTGACTATTTCTGGCTTTTTCCAAGTTTCACCAAAGTTAACCCATTGCTGATAAAATTCCCAGCATACACCATTATTTCTTTTTTTGAAAAAAGAAGCAGTAATACCTATCTATCCCATCCCCTACAGAAAGTAGAAATAGTAGAAATAGTAAAAAGTAGAAAAGTAGTCACATAAACAAGAAAAGAAACCTTCATGCACCCTGGCCAGACAGTTGTAGAAAACAAAGACTCAGAGGGGGGGAAAGCCATAACTTACTTTTGTAAGGAAAGCAGCACTCCTTATAGCCTCCACCATCTCTCTGCCCGAAGGGTGGACCTTCGCCACATGCCCCCACATTCTCTCCCAGGTCTGCCCATCAATTGGAAAACCGCTCTTGTTGACAAGGAATACTGCTCCTCCATCTTTATCCTCCTCTTCTGAGCCCCCATTGTTGGCAGTACTGAGCGTCCGAGTGTGAGAGCTTCTGGAGCGGCCCCCTTTGTCTCCCTTGGGGTGGGAATTGTGAGCAGCTTTGGAGCCAGAGCCAGTCATTGTGAGCTCTAAAGGAACCAGCAGTCTGACCCTGGTCAGTGTCCCGTCAAGCAAGCCTGCTCCATTCTGCCCCCTGCTCCTGCCGAATGAATGAGCCTGGCATGAAACTGCTTGCTAGCAGCCACCAAGCAGGTGGTGGAGAGCTTGTTCCTTATACAAGCAGGATCTACAAAGACACAAGGAGTGGAGAACAACATGGTATCAGCAGCATCAAGCAGCCAAGCTCAACCTTCCCACCAAGTGCTTTCCAGCCACGCCAAACTACAACTTCTATTATCCCCAGGCAGTACTGTGTAGTGGTACAATCCAGGGTGGCTGGGGATGATGAGCACTGCAATCAAAGACATATGGAGAGCATCAGGTTGGAGAAGACACAGGGTTAGATAAAACAATCCATTTTCAGAGACTTTGCAGGGATGACCACATTCCCTCCTTAGTGTGTTTTTTTTTAATTTACCAACATTTTAAAACCATCCATCTCCCTCATAAACTTCGTTTGGTTTGCATGCTACAAGGAATCATACTAACCAAATGAGCAAAAAAAAACACGCTTCCCCCCCACTCCACCCCCAACTCCCAACAAGGTTAATAGTAACCAAAGCTTAGGATGCTGCATGGTGTGTACTTGCAGCTGAGGTCTTTGACCTGATTAAGCGGGTAGTGTGAACCCAGCCACCGAGTATCCTGTTATCAGCTGGAAATAGCAAACGATAGAAGGACCTTTCTCAAAGCCCTATTTTACTCTATTCACTTGTCAAACAAAAGGCAATCCTCAGGCTGCCTCTCAGCAGGGGGCGACAGCAGCCAGCCAAAAAGCCGTTCTTTCAGTCTGAGAAATGTCTCACAAAAGGAACGGGACGCCTCGCTATTGCGGGCTAGCGCTTAGATTTCGAAGACCGGAGCCTCGCTTAATGCGAATTGGCCACGCACAGAGGACGTTGCCGCCACATCCCGGCTCAGCTTTTGGTGGGGACCCACAAAGGAAAACACACACATATACACATACACAAAGAGAGTCCTGAGGGGAGATTCCAATAGCTCTGTGCGCATTCCCACGTTCACCACCCTACTCCTTATTGTTCAGAGATGGGAAAGCCGGAAAGCTCAATGGCGTGCAGCAACCAGGGTCGGACTGCTGTAAAGAAAACGCAAGCACGCTTCCATATCGTTTTGACAACCTTCAGGCGGGACGGTTTGGGTTCTGGAATATGCGCGTGTGAAACGAAGCCAAGGGGGGGGGGGTGTCTGGCTGGCCCAGTCACCGCAAGCCTTTTCTTTTTCTCAAGGAAAATAATTCTTCCCTCCATCGCTCGCTCGGCTACGAGGACCCCACCCATTTTCCCGTTCCCGCTGCGCGGCCGCTAGTCTTACCCGATCGCCAGAGGATTCATTGCACCGGAGCCTCTCCAGGCGGCTGCGGCTGATGCTGCTCCTGCAGCTGACTCCGACGCCTTCGCCTTAGTCCATGTTCCATGATCAAATGTTACTCTCTGACATGTAACCATGTTACCCGGCAGCTGGCGACATTCGGAACGTGCCCATTGGGCGCCGCAACAAAGAGGGGCGGACTTAAGGGAGTCGGGAGGCAGCTCATAGAGGCGTTGCACACTTCTGATTGGTCGGAAGCTCGGCAGGCTAACAAGGCCAGCCCGGGAAATCTAATCGGTTAGCATCTCAAACCCCTCCGTCCTGTCAATACGAGCTTGGACAGGGGGGCTCTCCTCAGGAAGTAAGAATTCATATACGATATTGCACCTCATGAGGTACATCAATAGTTAAGTAAACGTTTTATTTATTTTATATCCCACTTTATTATTTTACGGATAATTCATCTGAATCCTCCAGTATATATTCTGCCCCCAGAGATGAAGCGGGGGCCCCCTCTCCCGGCCTTTTGGAAATGCTTGAAGACCTAGCTCTGCCGACTCCCTTGGGGCCACAGAGGAGCAGGCTCTCACGGGGCTTGTTAGAGCCTTAAAGGTTCTTCCCGCCTTTTTAATTTTAATTATTGTATTCCTGTTTCAAATGCCTCCTGATATAGCATTTATATACAGCTTTTGTTTTAATGTCTAGTAGACTACCAAAGTAGCTCTGAGAGACCAGCAGTTTCTAAATATGATTTATATATACATATATTTCGCATGCAGTGGATATAAAAAGTTTACACACCCCTGTTAAAATGCCAGGTTTTTGAGATGTAAAAAAAATCAGACCAAGAAATAAAATAAATAATAGCCAGTATACACCTGCCCTCAATTAAAATTAACTCTGATCAAGCTCACATCAAGTTCAGCTCCTCTTACCGGTAGTAGGATCTTTCTGACATTTACTCACTTGCCTCTTACATCAAAAGCCATGGTTTTCCAAGGACATTGAAGGCATGGTCTTACAACTGATGAAAAAAGAAGAAAGCTATTCCGAGAGGCTACCAAGGGTCCTACAGCAACGTTAAAGGCACTGCAGGAATATATCTGGACTGCGGATATATTCTTACAAAGAAGAACCTCCAAGGCCAGCTACATTTTGTAAAAACCTACATCAAGTCTGACAAAGGCATGTTGGAAAATGTCTTATGGTCTGATGAGACTAAGGTTGAACCTTTTGGCCATAAAAGTATGTTTGGTGCAAAAACAGCACTACACAACACCATACCCACAATGAAGCATGGTAGCAACAGCATTATACTTTGGGACTGCTTTTCTTTAGCTGGAACTGGGGCTTTAGTCAAGGTGGAGGGAATTAGGAATAGTTCCCAATATTAGTCAATTTTTGGTACAAAACTTTAAGGACTCTGCTAAAATGCTGAAGATAAAGAGGAATTTCACCTTTCAATAACAAACAATGACCCTAAACAATTTCAGTTTGTTTTTCAATTTAATTGTACAGTTTATATGTTATATTAAAGGTGGGGGGGGGAATCTGAAGTGATTTATCTTGGTCTGGTTTATTTTTACATCTCAAAACCCTGGCATTTTAACAGGGTGTGTGGACTTTTTATATCCACAGTATGTGTGTGCGTAGAGTGTGTTTGTGAGAGTGTGTCTATGGAGATTCTCAGTCATCCCGGTCATGATTGTCCCAAGGGTGCTTTTTCAAGAGTTAACTGGACTTTGTTTTTCTTTGAAGACATTTCATTTCTCATCCAAGAAGCTTCTTCAGCTCTGACTGGATGGTGGGGAATGGAAAGATTTATATTCCTTGCAGCCAGCTGATCATTTGCATTCTTTTAGAGAGTCGTTGAGGCTACTGGGAGGTTTATCTGTGTTCTCAAGGTTACCTGAGTAGTGCAAGTGGGTGTGGAGTCTTCTTGAAACTGTTGAAAGGAAAGAGAGCATTATATGCGGTAGCTACACCTCTAGTTATACTGTATAGTATCATCTGTTTCTTCTGTTTTCTAGCCATGTTAATCCATAAGAAGGAAAGGTTGAATAGTTGGGGGGGGAGGGAGGCAGCATTAGAACTTGTTCTTTTAAAAGCACCCTGAGAGAAAATCCTGTGTGCTCAGCATTTTTAGTAGGCATATTTTTGGTAATATAAGTGCACTAATCCTTTCACCTGTAGCTCAGAAGTCCTAACATTCCAGACGCAACTTGAACTGGTGTTCATTTTCACACAAAAAATATTTTTATTTTACGTTTCAGTCCCATAATATGTTCAGCTTTAAGAAAGGAAAGACATCTGTGTATGAAGATAAAATTGATTAGTAGCAAATGTGCAACCCAACCTGTAAACAAATTTAATTTTCCATAGTGTTGTTATGTACAGCTATAAGTACAATACCAACTTGCTTGCAGGAATGAACTACTAGACATTCAGCTGTTACAAGTTTGTAATTCACCATGGTCTCAATGCACAAATGTGCTCTGTGCTGGAGGTTTCACACCTAGAAAAAGGGAAAGATATTGCTAAATATAAATAAATACGGAATTCATATTATTACACAAAGGACAGAAAAAGACAGCCATTAAAAAAATTAAGTTCTGCTTTTACTCCAGAGATAAGCAACTCATAGCTCATGGAGTAGCTGGTAATATTCTGAACTGTCATCCAACTTTCTTTCCCACTGGGAACCACCAGCTAAGTTAAACTGTTGACCTATTCTCACCATAAGAAGCTTATCTGTTCCTACTAGTACTCTTAAGACGGGTCTTCAACCTTGGCAACTTTAAGACTTGTGGACTTTGCTGGCTGAGGAATTTTGGGAGTTGAAGTCCACAAATCTTAAAGTTGCCAAGGTTGAGGACCCCTGCTCTAAGATATCTCTAACAAGAAAGGGGAAAAAAACTTTTAAGCAATTGCAAGCCGATTTCAGCACAGCATCATCTAGATGCCATTTCTTGCAATAAATCCAGAAGAAGACAATTTTTAGATGTCAATATAAAGTGAAAAATATGGGATTAAAATTACACATAAAGATCATCAAATTAATGACAAAAGATAGAACTATCAGCCTTAGTCTTGTCTAATATTTCTATTTAAAACTTCCAAAGTTAAAATAAATAACAATGGAAATAGTGGACATCCTTGTCTTTTTCCTTTCCTTATGTTGAAATTCTCTGTATAATCTCCATTTACAATCATTTTTGCTGTTTGTTTGTGATATATTATTGTAATTATAAAGTTTTGTCCAAGTCCATTGTTTTTAGTTGTCGAGTCAAAATTGCCAGGAAACATTATCAAATGCCTTTTGAGCATCTAGAAATACTAATGCAAATTGTTTCCCTGGATGTATTTCATAATATTCCAATATGTCCATTATAACCCTTAAATTATTTTTTATTTGTCTCATTGATAGAAATCCATTTTGATCTGGATGTATAAATTCAGTTAGAAATCTTTTCAGTCTCTCTACTATTATTGAAGTAAAGATTTTATAGTCCACATTTAGTAATGATATTAGTCTGTAATTTTTTATCTGTGTCAGGTCTGAGTCCTCTTTTGGTATCAAAGTAATATTTGCTTCTATCCATGTGTTTCGGAGTTTAGCCACCAATAAAAGTTCATTACACACATCTTTCAGCAGTACACTTAATGTACATTTGTACAACTCTGCCGGGAGCCCATCTGGTCCCAGTGTTTTTTTCTTTCTTTTTTTTTGTTTTGTTTGTTTTCTTATAGCCTCTGTCAGTTCCATCATTGTTATTTTCTCATTTAACATAGTTTTAAAGTTTTCTGGAATTTTTGATAAATTATTTTTTCCATATATTGAATCATTTTCTTCCAAAAAGGTTTTGTTTTGCTCTTTTAATTTGATGTGCTAATTTTTCTGATTCTATTAAATTTAATTTATGTTTTATTATTTCCATTTGTCTTTTTAGTATTTTGTTTTGTGGATTTATTTGAAGTTTTAATTCTAGTTTTTTAAATTCTTCTCTTAACAGTATATATTGTGGTCTTTTTTTCTTTGTTTTTTTTTTCTGCCATGTATGTTATAGCTATACCTCTAAAGCAGAGGTCTCCAACCTTTTGGGCACCAGGGACCAGTTCTGTGGAGAGAGGTTTTTCCGCAGACCAGAGGGTGCATAGTTTTGTGCTGCCTGCATCCCACAGGTGGGGCTTTGCTTGTTTGTGCGGACCGGTTGCTGGCATGCCATGGCCCGGTACTGGTCCACGGACCAGGAGTTGGGGACTCCTGCTCTAAAGTATGCTTTGGCTGTATCCCATACATTTTGTAGTGTTGTATCTTCTTTTCTTTTTTTTTTCTTTAAAAAAGAGCTCCATTTTTTTGTTGCTAATTCTATAAATTCTTTCTCTTTTAATCTGGATTGGTTCAAAGTCCATCTTAGGGGTTTTTTTGTATTCCTCTCCACGTCATTTTTAAAGGATTATGGTCTGTCCAAGTGGCTAATTCTATCTCAATCTCCTGCATATTGGTTCTTAGTTCAGGCGTCATCCAAGTCATGTCAATTCTGGACCAAGATTTATGGCTATTTGAGTAAAATGTATACTGTAGTTTTTTTGGATTAATTTTCTCCAAGTATCTTGTACACCAATTTCCTCTATCATCTTAAAAAAAGTCTTAGTCTTTTTCTTTCTCATTTTGTTATTTTTATAGTCCAATGTCCCGATGTCTACTATTGCATTAAAATCCCCTACTAGGCAAATGTTTTGATATTCCATTTCTGCTATTTTTCTATGAAGATTTTGATAGAATTCTTGTTTATTGTTTGGTGCATATTAAATTAAAGGACTAGAAATAAAAGGTGAAACTTATAAATTGCAAACATTTGCAGATGACTTGGTATTCATTCTAGAGGAACCTTTAGAGATGATTCCTAAATTATTAGAAAAAATAGAACAGTTTGAGAGATAGTAGGACTGAAGATAAACAGAGAAAAAAAAGTAATAGTTAAAAATCTTACAGATAAACAAAAAAAATGACAGAAAAAATAGAATTACAAATAGTTAAAAAGGTTAAATACTTGGGAATATACCTGACAGCAAGATGTTCAACAATAAAGGAAGTAACTATATAAAATTACTGAATCAAATAAAACTTGACTTGGAAAAATACAAAAACTTGCAACTGTTGATTAGCTATGGTGAAAATGAATATATTACCAAAAATA